GTTCTTTAGCTTTAGTGTTTGTCCTAACTTGCTGTTACAAGAATTTGTTACTGCTTTGTTACTACATCAAAAGCTCATTTATGCAGCCACAAGGTCCATTTTACTCCACACTGCTGCTTTCATTCAACTAATTTTTCCCTAATTTAATCAGCCCTCTTCATACACACAACACTGCAACTACTTTCACTTACTATTCATGTTATCCCGCAGATACTGCTATTTGGTTTGCTATCTTTCCTACAACCATGGTACTAAGACTGAACATCGGCCAAATAGAACCAGCAACACGAGATTGGATTTGCAAAGTTCAAATTGTTGAAATAGGCCGCCCCCGAGAAAGCCTTGACAAGAAATGTACATTCCAAAATTTAATTTTGGAAGATGAAACAGGTCACCTCATTACTATCTTTTATGTTATAGATATTGCTCTTTTCCTCTCAACTTAGTTAATGTCAACTTTCTATAACTCTTACTTTCAGGAATGCCAAATTAGGGCCGTCATGTACACTGATGAAATCGAGCAGTATGCAGCTACACTTAAACTCTTCAACACGTACCTCATCTCTACTGCAAGAGTGAAAGTCTCACCAACCTCATATGGCAAGCCAATACATCAATTTTACTGGATTCTTGACAAAGAAACAGTAATTGAACAAATCAAACCATCTAATGAAGTTGAAAAGCCGCTTCCACCGCCAACCAAACTGAATATCACCAGCTTTGACCGCATTCCTCATCTGGTGGTTGATTCTGCTGCTGAAATAGGTACATCAATCGTTGTAGCTATTATCAGACTGAAATACACATCTTCACTGCTGCACAACACTTGCAACATTTCATTCTGTGTTATATACGCAGATGTACTGGCAGTCGTTCTTCGTTGTGGTCCTTAAAAAACCGCCGGTCGCAGTCATCATAGGTGTCGAGAAATTACCCTTTGTGACAATCAGTAAGTATAAGATTTTACATTCTGCTTTCCCATTTTCGGCAAATATTTTGAATAAGTAACCACTTTTTGCACTTCTCTACTGACATCATCAATTATTATCTACGCATTATCATACTCCTTACTCTTTTGTCCTTATGTTCTGCACTCTCAGGCAAAATCTGTTCCTCTTCACTCTATGGGAGGATTGTGGAGAAATAGGACACCAAATTTCCTCAAAAATGGCAACAGAGACAGATCTACTTGTAATCCTTGGAAGAAGTATAGGAATCTCTACTTATCAAGGTACGTATGCGCTCAACTTCTTACCAACATAATTTTATATTATAACAAAACAATATACAACTTATGTGCTGTACAGGGCTGTCACTGCAGACTAGGTACAATTCCACAGTACGGGTGAATCCAAATTACCCCTAAGCAGTTGCACTCCTCAACTGGTACTGACCTTTCATATTTATTCTTTACCTTTACTTTGCATGTAAAGAGCCTACTAAACATATTATTTGCTCTAACAATAGGGCAAAAGAAAACAAAACACTGTTGTTAACTTCTCCATCAGCTACAACCTCAACAAGCTCATTTATTGCTCCCATGATAGTCACCCCTTCTGGCCAACAACTTATCTTTATTGCAGAAATCTCATCAGCACCTTCCGTAAGTCATACTTAAAGCTGCTTATTTGACAGTATCCTTATTCATTCTCCCATTCTATAGCTTTGCCTAAATACTCAAAACTTCCCACAGATGGGAGTGTTCTATGTTCAAGCAGAGATGGCCATATTAGATGAGTTCCAAGACTTCTGTGTGCTTGAATGCTCAGGATGCAAATAGAAGAAGCGAACAAAGGATAGAAAGGATTTTGACTGTCCAAAATGCAATCGGAAAACATCCTTAGTCCCTCGGTACTATACTTTCCTGACTTCTAACTTACACTTTCTACAAAATATAGCGTATATTATACACATATTTCAAACTTCCCCTCATTTCAGTTGTAGCTTCCAAATTGATCTTATTGACGATACTGCTACAACCACAGCATCTATCTCTGCTGAATTAGGAGAAAAATTACTGTCCATGACAGCAGAAGACATATTTGACATAACTTGCACTAAGGTTATCTCTTATTCCCACTACCTACTTGTACACACTTATTGTCATAATAGCATATATCTTCAGCACAAACAATTGACCACGTATGCTTTGTTCTAAACTATTTCTTCTAACTTGTTACATTTACAGCGACAATCATTGTCTCTTAATCATGTCCATGAGATGCTGTCAAGCAACGTATTCGAAATTCAACTAAGGAAGTCTTCTTGGAGCAGCTCAAATACCACGACTACAACTTTGTCCATTCTTTCCTACATGGAAAAACACCATACTACACAGAGCACTACTGATAGGACTTCTAAAAAGATAAAGCCTTTGGAAATAGGTGAGGTAGAAGTGATGGCAACAACTGCTGCAGCTGGTCCTTCAAATGCATTGGGAAAATTTGAACCACCCACACCAACCAAAAAGGTGTAACAGGTCAGTCTACATCTCACTTTCACCCCAAACTATGCCTCAAAATGATTATGACTTCCACATATTTACATTCACTCCAATAATTGCTGCTAAAAAACTGTACTTTTAGCTGTAGTTTAGTTTCTTTCATACACGTATCCACATGGTTGCTGTAAAACATTCTAAATGTCATACTTATGTTATACTACTGCTTTTGCACTTGCTCTTGTCTGCTTTCAAATTTCACAATTTGGTTTTGTTTATGTCTGACATAACATTGCACACTCTCACGTTAATTCCGGGCTAAAAACAGTCTATCCATGTTCATATGCATGCTCAAATCAACTGGTTGACAATTTCTTTTTACTTCCTCCTCTCATGTTAACTGTTCAATTAGCTTATTTCAGTTGCAACAATTCACCAATTTCATTGCTTCACATTTAGCAGCAGCTCTTTTGCACACTGACACCAATTTTTTACTCCTTCTATTTGTACTACTTGCAGCAGCTCAACTGACATCCAATGAAACTACCTTTCAACTATAAACAACAGAATTAGACTTTTGACATTTGATTATGAATAATGTTGCTGACATTCAAATAAATGACGCTCAAACAACTCTTGTTGTCTGCTGTGTCTTCCTGATAGCATAAAACTTTACCCTCCCTTTGCTCTTGCGTTAATGCTTGTCATTTCACACTGCAATATAAGCCTATTTACATGTTTCTCTGCATACCTTGCACTGCATACATTCTTCTACATTTCTCTTATTCTGCTTTCTTATAATGTCATACACTATAACACACAGTTATCAATAGGAACAATAGAAACAAGGTTTCTGTCTACTAGCTAGCCTCATTCACCCTAGACTATTAAGCCAATCACACACACATTCAACAGCAAACCTATGCATTTTATACTGACTTTGTCCTTCCCTTTGCAATTGCTCCCTATATTAAAATTTATTTGCTATTTGTTGCCATAGTTGCACTTTCTAACATACTTTAAACTGCCTAATTACAGGAGCTCCCACACAACATTTTGTCGCTTCTCCTTATACTAGGGACAATATAATGAATGACTCTCCCTATGCTCTGTTTTTTTGCATCAGCAACATTAGCTATGGCCAGGCAAACTGCACTGTCCTCTCAATATGATAGACAATGCCATGTTAATCTTATATACCAAAACTGCAACATGTACTATATTATTATTTTGGTTATATTACATTAGTTAGTATGTCTATTGTACATATTCTCAATATTTCTAATAGTACATAATATAATAGATCCTATTATCTATCTTCTACAAACACCCTAACCCTTGCTTCATTAATATTACAATATTTTTACAACCATAACATTTTTACTATTTGCACGGGCCTCCCCACCCTAGTATTGATAGATTTGAAAGAAATAATTGGGTAGAGAATATAATAATAAATGTTTACTTTATTTAATGTGGAGGTTATTATAATAATTGAGAAATTGAATAGTGTTTAGTTAATTGTTGCATCCTTTCTTACGTGACTACTTATTTTGTTGACTTATTTATATCTTGGTGATTACAATGAACCAGCATTACTATTCATACATTTATCTTTTTTTTATTCCCCTTTCTATTTTTATTCAACCATTATTGAATATTTTAAAATCTACCAAACAGTCAAATTTTGCATTAGATAAAATCTATTCTTGTGTATTTATAAAAAAAATATATATATATTTTTGGTGTATTCTTTAAATTTCAAGTACCGCAACAAATCAATATTATTTTAATATTGTTATATCAACATATTAAATTCAACGCAACCATTTCAATATCATTATATAAACTTTTTAAATTTTTTGAGTGAATTGTTTTTGTTCAAACATTATATATATTTTTTATTAAAAAATTTAATTACTTACGTTCTTACTTTGTAAGGTCTATGTACAATTTATCTTCTCAAGACTTCACTTGTAGGATTACTTTGAGTATGTTATAATTCAATCTATATATAACAACTACAAAAATAAGGTCTCTCTATGAATGTTTACCAATTCTCAAAAAAAAAATAAGGTCTCTCTATGAAGTTTGACTTTAGACCCCCAAACTTATTGAGATAGCCCTGATAGACGTAATAACTTTATATAATAAAACATAAAATGTACATTCTATTAAAAAAAATATTATTCGAAATAGTCTAATTAACCTCATGGTCTCCAATACAAGTTTTTGTTCAAGTCTTTCACAATTAAGAGTACTAACTTTTAGATGGAGGACAAACTGTCTTATTTTGCATAGTTGAAGGAAAATTGAACCATTTTTTATTTTATTTTGGAGCAACTCATGTTAGAGAGAAGGCAATACAAATATTGTTTAGTGAAGAGGTTATCTTGGTTATGTTCTATGTTCAAACATGTCCTTACTATTACATTTTTTTGTTTCAAAAATGCGTTTGTAGCAAAATAGATAAGAAATAGTGCATTAAAATATGATAAAACACATCTCATATATTTTTCGATTGTCTAATTATTTGAGATATGGTTATATGTGCGCGCAGGTGTATGATTGCATGCTGAAGGTGTTCAGAGGGGAAGAACAAGACAAAGCATTAGAGGAATATTACGCGAAATTGAGTGTGCTGGAAGATGGAATTAACAGCTCCTCACTGGGGATAACAAGTAATATAAACAACATAGGTATGCTGGATATTATGATTGTTATTACATTAGGGGCATACAAAGTACAAGATGAAGTATTTGGTTTCAAGTTATTGGAAGCAGAGAAGACACCATTGTTATACTCATGGGTCACTACTCTAATTGAGTTACCTATAGTTAAAGGAATCACTCCCTCTCATGACAAGGTGGTTTCATTTCTTCTATTTCTCAAAAAATAAGGTCTTCAAAGCTCCAATCAGTTAAGCCTTGTGTTTATGTCCATCACTATCTCTAGTCATGTATTTTGCTCTCTATAATAAGCCTTATGGCCATTGGATTCCCAAGGTTTCTTATATTTCTCATGACCAAGTTATTTTTTATGTTTCATCAAATAGCTGGAGAAAAATGACTTTCATCATTTATAGGCAAAAATTAGTTTTCTTGTAATATAAACTTTTGACTTTATATTATTGTAGCAACATCTGTTTGATTTTTCTCCCTTAAGATTTCTCCATGATTCAAGGGTTTTTAGTGGTATATTTCTCAAACTAAGATGATTTGGACTTGATCTCCATGAAAGGATGTGTGATCTTCTTGAAGTATTTGATTATGAAGAACAGTCTGACATATCTTGATCTCTTAATAGATATGTCAAGAATTTATGGGATATTCAAAATGTCTTTTCAAGAAAATATAATAGGAAAACAACATAATTAGACATACTTTACTTCCATATATACTATTATTATCTATACTTTCAATTATATGGGCGACCTCAATTATTTCAAGCCCCTAAAGATCAACTAGACTACTTATTACCTCATAATATCCCTGCAAAGTTACACAAGTATAGTGCATCTCTTATCTATTAATGAGACAAGAATCAGGGATACACTAAGTTGTACTCACAAGTTTAATTAAGAAAATTTTTTTTCTTTATATTTGTTGTGATTGCAGTAATTAATTTTCGAACCGATAAATTTTGTCTAATTCTTGTAAATTGGCCCCTAAATGTCCAAAATGGACTCTGAAAATTGTCAAACTGTACATATTGCTACCCCAACTTCCTATGGAGGGTTCATTAAAGGTTTCACAAAGAAATCATTTGGAGCCATATCACCAAAATATTCATTTTTGAGATTTAAAATGTATCAAGTCTTACAATGTTATTCCTACGCAACTCTCTTTTCTTAGGATGGACTCAAAGTGGTAGAACCTAGATGTTTTTGTATATTGCTCAAAATCAACGGAAAGGTCATGTAAGCCACTGACCCTTCATCAATAAAGTATTGAGGACTTGATTCGACAACCATCATAGGATTATAGCTCAAATATCTTTTGCAGAAACCTGAAAGGTGATCTGCACCAATCTCAATGATCTTCCTCTTGGGGCAGAGCAGCACCAGGGACTTCAACATAGTTGCTCACCCCTTATGGTCTCCCGGAGGGCTTTCATAGCTGCTTTTGACCTCTTTGGAGAACCTACAATGCCAGAGTAAGGATCAGTATTGGCCAATCAACCACCAGACTGAATTGGACAAATCTTTGCAGGACTTTACTGGGTCGAGTAGACCAGTCAAGAAAGCAGCAAGAATACAACAAACAACCTGCAGCTTTGTAATCTGCTCTCAATGATATTTGGAGTCACAATTGCATTTTCTTCTCTAAAATATGCTTTATTTCATCCAAACAAAGACATCTATGTCCAATTCTGATACAGATCGAAAAGTCAAATTGAATCATATCAGTGAAATCTCCTTTAGTCTGATCTTCTATTATTTTCTTGTTTGGTTCTAAAGAAATTGAGAAGAAAAGGGTTTGCCATAAAATTTCGACGATTCTAAAAAGAAGTATATCCCTCTCCCTAACTGTCTTTCCACTTCCCTCATTCGGGCACAGAAATTTCGCCTGGCTCTTTGCATGTTGGTCCTCCTCACTAACCGATAAGCTTTTGCTACAAAGACTACCTATTACAGATAATATCTCTTGACTCACAAGATGGATGCAAGTGATAAGGGATCTTAACCTAAAGACCTCAAAAGTCACAAGGATCTATTAAGCAAGCTCCAGAAAAATGACTTGATGGAGCACACAATTACCTTGGAACATGGCTCTTCGATGAGTTACAGCAGCCACAGAAGAAAGTAGTGGATTCCCTGAGTGTCCCTTCTTAGCAGACAATACCTACAATGTTACATAAAATATCAAACATATTTGTTCGTAGCATTTGCAAATGTGGTGAAATCCAATTCTATATGAAAATTTCCAACTCTGAAGTTTGATGTACTAGCAGTCAAACAATAACATATCTAGTGAAATCCTACAAGTGGGGTCTGGGAAAGTAGAATGTACGTAGACCTTACCACTACCTCGTGGAGGTAGAAAGGCTGTGTCCAGAAGACCCTCGGCTCAAATGTAGCAATTCTAGATACAAAGAAGAAAATATAGCCAGTTACAAGCAACAACAAAATAGTGCAATACCCACAACATAATAAACAACATACTAGGATAGATTATTGAAAACAATAATAAATAATGATGGATAAAAAAAATAAGAACTACAGTACCAACCACCCAAGACAAGACAACACTACACTACATATTAACCTTCTACACTAATACGTGTCCTCCACACCTTCCTAGCTAAAAGGTCATATCCTTGGTAATTTGTTCTAGCAATCAAACATATAAATTTTAGCCAATGGATAATATGCAGCAGAACCCCAGATTTTAGCATCTAATTCTGCAAGAATAAGAAATTATTCGAGAAAGACTAGTTCAAAAGCTTTGCAATTGTGTTGTCCATTTAACATCTATGTCGATCTTAGGCCAAGCAGGTATCACAGAGCTAGCTGTTGAGCCTTCTATTAAACAAGAATTATGAAGGTGCAAAGTAGGAAAGATCTAGGTTCATTTTTCCCCCTGCTATAAGATCTTTCAAAACCAATAGGAGGTGGACCAGTCTAGGTGGGGAGTACAGTAATAATAATAGGCTTAGCAAGCACTTCTTGGCAGCCTGAGAACTGCTACTATAGCATCATTCCACCCTCCCTCAGCTGATTCATTTGTTTTGAAAGTATTAGGAAGAGTAATCATATAAAGAAATTAGTGCGCTAAACCTATTAGTGAATTTTTATACATAATCTAATGCAGAGGGGCATAAAGAAAAGGCATTAACAGATGCATCGTAGAAACAGAAAAAAAACAAAGAATTAGCATCAAAACAAAGCACAACTTTTGGACAAACTTCAAAAGAAAATGGAGAAGGAAAACCAAGATGCAAAATGATAGCTATGCTTGATTTCGAAGAGAAGCACAGAAACCGATTAGGATATTGCATTTAAGATTGCACAACCTACAACAATGATACATCATTATAGATCAGCTTATGTTAGTCTTCAGGCACTGACAAACTGGGTAACTTACCCTTGACAAGACAAGATGAAGGGTGGATTCATAACTGCAGTCATATTGTTCATGAGTCATAAACAAGAATAAAAAAAGTCAAATCAGAAGAAAGGGCAAGAATTTCCAACTCTGGTCTTCATATTATGGTAAAAGATAAAAGAAAGTAAAATGCACTTGCTTTGTCTTTAATTAATTTTTCATAAAATTGTACCTATGGACAGTCTCTCAACTATGGTTTTTATTGTTCCTGGTCCAGGCCTCCTATTGCACAGTACAGTGTCATTCAATTCATCAATAAGAATGGAAGGAACATTAACAGCAGTGACCTGGGGCATACAAACAAGAACATTTTGCAGAACAGAAGATTATAACCCATGACACACTTTTGTTGTAATCCTCTTTTCCTGACACTTTGCAGTTTAAAGAAGAAACATTTATTTCTTTCAGTCATAAAATGTAAGGCTTACCAATCTATTAGTATTGACAATGCTGTAAGGTTAATTTGTCGGCCTCACACTATTTTCATTTGCATCTGCTTCCTAATTAAAAAGACTAGCATGTTAAAATAACTTGAACAACATTCCCAGAGGCTCTGGAAGTGAACAGACCTTCTGTATCAAGCAAAAGTCAAATTTATGTTTGCAATATTGTTCAGGGCATTATGCTTTAGTTATTAAATAAGCAAAGTCCTCATATCACAGACCTGAAGATCTGTAAGGAGCTTGATGCAGTAGCCTTTTCCAAGTCTATTAGTTGACAGACATGTTTGACTACTTCTTTTCCATTTTCTTTCATTTCGATGGCAAGCATGGAGGATTCCATGTCATCCAAAATGTGGGTCTTCTGTTTGCAGTCAACATGTTTATCCTGAAAATGAGAGCATTGCCAATTTGATTGGACCATAAATCATCCCTCACCGATAATCTTTGCAAGAGCAAGAACCTTCTTTAAAAGAATGAAACCTACTTCTGTCTCTAACCACAATCTCTAATCCATAGACTTTAGATATCAACTTCATAAAACTATGACAATCTTTGCACACCCTCAAATTCTTTACAATTCATATGGTGCTTCCCTTACATAACCTTGCCATACCAAAAGCAACAGCAAGTTTCTCGCTGTGCTTAGACATGGTATCTTCCTTTTCTTCCTCTTCTATATCATGTAAAACACTGCCTACCTCTGGAATATAACCACCTTTTACTTTAAGTTTTAACAGTATCTCACTTAGCTTATTATAAGCCTCTTCAGTAATCTCATTTCGTTTATCACCTGCTACAAAACTGTACATGACCTTGTCTATTTCAATCATGCTCCAACCTGGTATTTTCTTCATATTTTTCTCAGCCATTGATCTCCTCACCATGGCAACATCCTTCCATTTCCCAGCAAATGCATAAATGCTGGACAGCAAAACATGGTCACCACAATTGTCTGGATCCAGCTCAGAGAGTCTTTTATTAACTTGCTCAGCCATTTCAATGTCGCCAAAAAAACTGCAAGCCCCAAGAAGTGTTCGCCAGATAACGGCATTGGGTGGTACTGGCATTTGAACCACAAAATTATATGCCTTACGAAGCTGACCAGCCCTACCATACAAATCAACCATACAACCATAATGCTCAATAGTTGGTTCAATGTCATAAGTTTCTGTCATTTTACTGAATAGCTCATGACCTTGTTCAACTAAATCAGCATGACTACATGCATCATAAAGTACCGAAATAAAAGTGACCCCATCAGGTCTGGTCCCAGATTCTTCCATCTCATGAAAATAGTTTATCACCTCTTCACCATATCCTTGCATTGCAAGCCCTGCAAACATAGAAGTCCAAGAAACAATGGTTTTCTTCCCAAGCATTCTCTCAAAGACAAGACGAGCCATCAACACATTGCCACACTTGGAGTAAGTATCAAAAAGTGCATTGTTCACAGAACTTATCCAAACCAACCCCACTTTCTCTATAAATGCATGCAATACCATCCCAAACTTAAACGCCCCAGCTTGAGCACACGCAGATAAAGCAACCGTCAAGCTCACTTCATTCGACTTACTTCCACTCCCAATCAACTCCCTGAAAACCCCAAGCGCCTCATCAAAGCAACCATTATGAGAAAATCCAACAATCATAGTACTCCAGGAAATATCATCTCTACTTGGCATCTGCAAGAACAGCCCCTCTGCATGCTCAAGCTCTCCGGCTTTAGTATACCCTGCCAGCATCACATTCCAAGTAGTCAAGTTCCTAAACGGCAATAAACCAAACACTTTATCTGCACCACTCACATCACTCCCTCGAAAATATGCTATAAGTACCAAATTCCACGCCACAACATTTGGTTGAGGTATTTGAACAAACACCTTCCAAGCAAACTCAACAAACCCACATTCCGCATACATACTAATCATTGTAGTCCCAACAAAGAGATGGGTATCAAGACCACAAGTCATAGCTTGACAATGCAGCTGAAACCCAGTTCTTCAAAGCTCCAATCAGTTAAGCCTTGTGTTTATGTCCATCTCTATCTCTAGTCATGTATTTTGCTCTCTATAATAAGCCTTATGGCCATTGGATTCCTAAAGTTTCTTACATTTTTCATGACCAAGTTATTTTTTGATGTTTTATCAAATAGTTGGAGAAAAATGACTTTCCTCATTTATAGGCAAAAAAACAGTTTTCTTATAACATGAACTTTTAACTTTATATTATTGTTTGCAAGATCTTTTTTATTCTTCGAGGGTTTTTACTGGCGTATTTCTCGAACTAAGATGATTTGGACTTGATCTCCATGAAATGATGTGTGATTTTCTTGAAGTATTTGATTATGAAGAACAGTCCGACATATCTTGATCTCTTAATAGATATCCAAGAATCTACGGGATATTCGAAATGCCTTTTCAAGGAAATATAATAGGAATACTACATAATTAGACATATTTCACTTCCATATATACTATTATTATCTATACTTTCAATTACATGGGTCACCTCAATTATTTTAATCCCCTAAAGATCAACTAGACTACTTATTAGCTCATAATATCCCTGCAAAGTTACACAAGTATAGTGCATCTCTTATCTATTAATTAAAGACAAGAATCAGGGGATACACTGAGTCGTACTCACAAGTTTGATTAAGAAAATCATTTTTCTTTATATTTGTTTCGTGATTGCAGTTATTAATTTTGATGACAATAAATTTGTCTAATTCTTGTAAATTGGCCCCTAAATATCCAAAATGGACTCTGAAAATTGTGAAACTGTACATATTGCTAGCCCAACTTTTTTTTTTTAAACTGGTAACTTTTTCTATATATGTTAGAATCCGAATCTTACAAGAGTTGTAGCTGCCCCATAATTACAAAGTACTACCTACATCTATGATTCTATGATCCTATGTTTATAATGAGTCTAAAACATCAATGATAGAGACAGGGTTCCTTAAAAGTTTCACAAAGAATCATTTTGAGCCATATCACCAAAATATTCATTTTTGAGATTTAAAATGTACCAAGTCTTACAATGTTATTCCTATGCAACTCTCTTTTCTTAGGATGGACTCAAAGTGGTAGAACCTAGATGTCTTTAAGCCACTGACCCTTCATCAATAAAGCGTTGAGGACTTGATTTGACGACCATCATAGGATTATAGCTCAAATATCTTTTGCAGACACCTGAAAGGTGATCTGCACCAATCTCAATGATCTTCTGCTTGGGGCAGAGCAGCACCAGGGACTTCAACATAGTTGCTCACCCCTTTTGGTCTCCCCGAGGGCTTTCATAGCTGCTTTTGACCTCTTTGGAGAACCTACAATGCCAGAATAAGGATCAGTATCGGCCAATCAACCACCAGACTGAGTTGGACAAATCCTTGCAGGACTCAACTGGGTTGAGTAGACCAGTCAAGAAAGCAGCAAGAACAGAACAAACAACCTGCAGCTTTGTTATCTGCTCTCAATGATATTTGGAGTCACAATTGCCTTTTTTTCTCTAAATTATGCTTTATTTCATCCAAACAAAGACATCTATGTCCAGTTCCGATCCGGATAGAAAAGTCAAATTGAATCATACAAGTGAAATCTACTTTAGTCTGATCTTATACTTTTTTATTTTTAATAACAGAGAAATCCGTCTGTGACCCGCCCTTTGGACCAATCACAGGCTTCTAAACTCGGTGGATAATGGGCCCGCCCCTCTACCCTTCTCCACTTAAATACCAGGCTTCGCTTTGTGTGGTGTGGGGCATGAACCTGCGACCTAAGCCACAAATCCTCCACCTTTTGCCACTCGAGCTAGACCTTGGGGGCAATGTGATCTTATACTCTTTTCTTGTTTGGTTCTAAAGAAACTGAGAAGAAAAGGGTTTGCCATAAAATTTCGACGATTCTAAAAAGAAGTATAGCCCTCTCCCTAACTGTCTTTCCACTTCCCTCATTCGGGAACAGAAATTTCGCCTAGCTCTTTACATGTTGGTCCTCCTCATTAACCAATAAGCTTTTGTTAAAAAGACTACCTATTGCAGATAACATATCTTGACTCACAAGATGGATGTAAGTGATAAGGGATCTTAACCTAAAGACCTCAAAATTCACAAGGATCTATTAAAGAAGCTCCAGAAAAATGACTTTGATGAGGCACACATTTACCATGGAACATGGCTCTTCGATGAGTTACAGCAGCCACAGCAGAAAGTAGTGGATTCCCTGAGTGTCCCTTCTTAGCAGGCAATACCTACAATAATACATAAAATATCAAACATATTTTTTTTTTTCTGATAACCGAGAAATCCATCTGTGACCCGCCCTTTGGACCAATCTAAACTATCAAACATATTTGTTGGTACTTGGTAGCATTTGTAAATGTGGTGAGATCCAATTCTATATGAAAATTTCCAACTCTGACGTTTAATATTCTAGCAGTCAAACAACAACAACATACCTAGTGAAATCCTACAAGTGGGGTCTAGGAGGGTAAAATGTACGTAGACCTTACCACTACCTCGTGAAGGTAGAAAGGTTGTTTCCAAAAGACCCTCGGCTCAAATGCAGCAATTCTAGATACAAAGAAGAAAATATAGCTAGTTACAAGCAACAACAAAATAGTGCACTAACCGCAACACAATAAACAACATACTAGGATAGATTATTGAAAACAATAATAAATAATGACGGACATAAAAAATAAGAACTGCAGTACCAACCACCCTGGGCAAGACAACACTACACTACATGTTAACCTTCTACCCTAATATGTGTCCTCTACACCTTCCTATTTAAGGTCATGTCCTCGGTAATCTGTTCTAGCAGTCAAACATATTTTAGCCAATGGATAATATGCAGCAGAACCCCAGATTTTTAGCTTCTAATTCTGCAAGAATAAGAATTATTCGAGAAAGACTAGTTCAAAAGCTTCGCAATTGTATTGTCCATTTAATATCTATGTCGATCTTAGGCCAGCAGGTATCACAGAGCTAGCTGTTGAGCCTTCTATTAAACAAGAATTATAAAGGTGCAAAGTAGGAAAGATCTAGGTTCATTTCCCCCCAGCTATAAGATCTTTCAAAACCAACTAGGAAGTGGACCAGTCTAGGTGGGGAGTACAGCAATAATAATAGGCTTAGCAAGCACTTCTCTGCAGCCTGAGAACTGCAACTATAGGGGCATTCCACCCTCCCTCACCTGATTCATTTGTTCTGAAAGTATTACTCCTATAAAGAAATTAGTGCTCTAAACCTATTAACGAATTTATATACATAATCTAATGCAGAGGGGCATAAAGAAAAGGCATTAACAGATGCATCCTAGAAAAAGAAAAAAACAAATAAGAAGCATCAAAACAAAGCACAACCTTTGGACAAACTTCAAAAGAAATGGAGAAGGAAAAAACCAAGATGCAAAATGATAGCTATGCTTGATTTCGAAGAGAAGCATACAGAAACTGATTAGGAAATTCCATTTAAGAATTTCACAACCTACAATAATGATACATCATTATAGATCAGCTTATGTTATCTTGAGGCACTGACAAACTGGGTAGCTTACCCTTGACAAGACAAGATGGAGGGGTGGATTCACAACTGCAGTCATAAAACAAGAATAAAAAAAGTCAAACCAGAAAGTGTCATTCAATTGGAGGGGTGGATTAATCTTGAGGCACTTGCTTTTTATTGTTCCTGGTCCAGACCTCCTATTGCACAGTAAAGTGTCATTCAATTCCTCAATACGAATGGAAGGAACATTAACAGCAGTGACCTTGGGCATACAAACAAGAACATTTTGCAGAGCATAAGATTATAACCCATGACACACTTTTGTTGTAATCCTCCTTTCCTGACACTATGCAGTTTAAAGAAGAGACGTTTATGTCTTTCAGTCATAAAATGTACAGCTTATCAATCTATTACTATCGACAATGCTGTAACGTTAATTTGTCAGCTTCACACTATTTTCATTTGCATCTGCTACCTAATTAACAAGACTAGCATGTTAAAATAACTTGAACAACATTCACAGAGGCTCTGGAAGTGAATAGACCATCTGTATCAAGCAAAAATCTAATTTATGTTTGTAATATTGTTCAGAGCCATTATACTTTAGTTATTAATAAGCAGAGTCCTCGCGTGGAAAAGTGAAGCAAGTAATGAGAAAGGTAGTAACATGAAAAAGCCAGACCAATCGCGTGGAAAAGTGAATACACAAAGATTGCCGAGCGATGACAAGAGAAGAGAACTAGAAAATACTCCCATTGAGGTGAATAGTGTGGAATCAGCTCAGAGGGTTGATCACAGTATCTCGACAAGAGTTGATGGAGATCAAGAGTTTATTACAACTCAAAAAGAGAGTAATGAGATGAGCGCCAAATCTGATAGAGGAGTCAGAGGAACAAATTCAAAATAGAAGAAATGCAGAGGAGGATGAGGATTTGGAGGAAAGCATACAACATTTAAGTATAGCTGGAGATTTATCTCCCAGACACACCAGTAGCTTGAAGAGCAGGGCCAGAAAAAAAAGATCTATACTTCATCTACAAGTTCAAACAAGGAGAAGTAAAGATAAATCTACAAGTTGTGATCAATGCATACAAAAACGTTGTTTTGGAATATTAGATCCGTTAATTCTCAAAATTCATTTGAGCGGTTAATAAAACTTAATAGAAGACATTGTTATTCATGCATAGCTTTTATGGATCCAGTAGAGTTAGATCAATACAAAGGCAGGTTAGGAATGAGCAATGCTTTGACAAACTGTTCGAACAAAATATTAATTTTTTGGACGGATAGATGGGAAGGACAGATGATTATTGATTCGTATCAACAGATCACAATGAAATTCAGCAATGACAATAAATTGTTACTCATTACAGCAGTGTATGCAAGGTGCAATACATTGGAGAGGTTGGAACTATGGGAACAACTGGAAGAATTAACTCAAGGAAATCTTTTACCTTGGGTAATAGGAGGGGACTTTAATGTGATCCTCAATGAAGAAGAGAAGCTAGGTGGTTTGGATTTCACTCAACACGAGGCAATAGATTTTGCTAGTTGCATCAGTAATTGTGCTCTTTCAGAATTAAAAACTACAGGAAGCAAGTTCACCTGGTGGAATGGTAGAATAGAAGAAGTGTGTATTTTCAAAAGATTGGACAGGGTGTTAGTCAATTAGGAATTTATCAATAATTTTCCTTCATCAGAAGTACACCATCTCATCAGACAAGATTATCAGCGAGATTAGTTTATTCCCCTAATTTTTCATATATCCAACTTTCAACGATAACCACTTAATCAGGTCTTTGAAAACAAATGTGTCGCTTTTTTCTTCAAGAAATCACAAACACACTTCACTAACATTTTAACCACAAAAGAAAAAGGAAACAGTAAGAGTATCGAAAGAATATTCATTTACCAAACAACTAGCAATCTTACCCAAAAAACACCCTAACCTGTTGAAATTTTACTTGTAAACGGTCCATTTACCATTAGCTGTTACCAATTCATTACTAATGGCCTAAATTATTTGTACATTATTAATACAAACATTTGTATCCAAGCAAAAGTCTCTTTAGTCTGCAATGCTTATGTGCACTCTAGTATTTGAGAAAACAGTAATTCTTTAAATAGGACAAACCTTCATTGATAATTTCTTCAAAATCTTTTTGTCTCTTATCCCATCGTATAAAAGTTCATAGGCATAATAGGTGATATGATTCTTCTTCAGCAAGTCTTCCACAACAATCTTAGGAGCCGCCACATCCTTTTTATCTACTTCAAAAATTGTGTGGACCACATCAGGGACAACACCCTTATGCACCATGAGATGAATGATACCAACTGCATCGAGTAACCTGTTCTTCACACATAGGCAATTGATCACACGTCCCACTGTTTCTTTTGATGGAAGAAATTCTTTCGAAAAGTTTTCAAGCAAAAACTTGTATCCAAATTCAGTGTTGTCGACCTTGCAGAAACCATCTATCATACAACGGTATGTGTAGTTGTCAGGAGGACAGCCACATTCATTCATCTCAAGAAAAAGCTTCTTTGCCATGTCCATTTTCAGCTTTTTAGCAAATGCACTGATTAATATATTGTATGTTGCAGTAGTATGAGAATATTTATATTGCCTTTTCATTCTTTTGAATAGCTCATAAGCTCCATCCAAATCCTCATTCTCACAAAACCCATTTATCAGAGTGCCAAAACTCACTGTATCAGGAATAAGACCCCTGCTTTGAATATCCTCAAGTAATTCTAAAGCTTTCATAAGCTTTCTAGATTTACAGAGGCTCTCAATGAGTATATTATATGTGATTATATTTGGGACACACCCTTTTTCCACCATGACTTTGAAGGTTTCCATCACATCATCAGAAGTTTTAAGCTTGCAAAGTCCATTCAACATTGTGTTATAGGTTATCACATCTGGAACAACATCATGATGCCACATTGTATTTAGAATCTCGATTGCATCAGCCAATTTTGACTGTTTGCAATAACCATCAATCAAGGTGTTGAAGGTAAAAATATCAGGAAGGATCCCTTTGGTCACAGCATCATTCAGGATATTACTAGCATCAGATACACAACCCATCTTGCACAACCCATTGATGATCAGATTATATGTCCATGTATTAGGCCTGCAACTTTTCTCAGGCATTTCAGTAATCAATCTCAATGCTTCTAAGATAAGTCCCTGCTGACACATTCCCTTAATTAAGGTGTTATAGAGGATTATATTAGACTCCATACCTTTACCTATGGCTTCATTAAATAAACTCTTGGCTCTGTTGAAGTCACCATCCTGGCAAAATCCGTAAACAAGGGAGCAGAAAGTAAATACATCGGGAACAAAACCTTTAAAAACTGCATTATTAAGGATTCTGTCAGCTTTCTCTATCATACCCAATTTGCAATATGCACCAATGATTGTGTTATAGGTGAATGCATCAGGATCGAACCCGCGGTTCACCATTTTATGCAAGTAAGACTCAGCTTCAGCAACCTTTGAGTGTTTGCATAAACCACATATGAGAGTGTTATAAGTGACTACATCAGCATTTAAACCTTCTTTCCTCAAAGCTTCCAACATCCTAGCAGCTTCATGTAGTTGGCCGTTTACAGAAAGACCTTGTATTAAGAGATTACATGTAAACAAATTTGGAAACACCCCCCTTTTCATAATCTTGTTAAGAAGCCTTTCACTTTCTTGGACGTCCCCCTTCTTACAAAGTGTACATATAAGCTTATTAAACGTAGTAATAGTAGGAGTTATTCTGAGCCTAAGCATTTCATCAAACAATTCACAAGCCTCAACTCGACAATTCACTTCATAAAATCCAGCAATTACTGTACAGCATGCAACTGCATTAAATTCACATCCTTGATCAATCATGTTATTCAAAAGCCTTAAAGCAACCTGAGGCCGATTTGTCCTACAAAATGACTTTATCCTAATAGTAAAGGTATATACATCAGGAGAAATACCATTTTCCAGCATTTTCATATAAACTTTATGGGCTTGTTTAAAATAACCATGTTCAGCCAATATATTCATGATTGTGTTAAACGAATGAACAGATGGGTTACAATTGAAAAAATCCATCTTCTCAAACACATCTACCGCCTGTTGAACTTTCCCCTTCTTTCCATAACCTCTAATAGCAGTAATGTACATCCCTTCTAACAACCTATTATCAATATTCTTCCTGGCTTCTTCAATGACACCTTCCATTGCCTTGAACTCTCCATAATAACTAAGCTTTTCAACAATACATTTGTATGTAAACAAATTATGGCTAAACCCATGTTCCTTTTTCACTGAATTGAATATTTCTAGTGCCCTTAATGGGTTCTTTTGACATTTTAATACAGCGGCAACATGTTTAGGAAGTACAACAGCACTCATTTTCTTAATACCAAATCAGTAAAGGTGAAATGCTGCTCAATCAGATCTCTGAGTAACTCAATCAATACTCCCATGAAAACCAATTCAACTCTTTTGTACCTTCTTATCACTAACATGAAACCCTACAGGCAGGGAAAGGACAAATAAGAAAAATGTAAATGGTAGAATAGTATTACCTGAGTCGTTGACTGGGTTTGGTTCGGTGACAACAGAGAAAGAGGGCGGCCGACGAAAAATGTTGGCGGCTCAACCAAGTGCCCGTCACTGGAGTTTTACTCATGTATTTGGGAGGTCTTTTCGATATAGTTAAGAAAAAATTAATACATATATTTTACTATCAGATAATATACCATGAAAGTTAAGTTTTTGAAGTTCAATTTATAAATTTGTAAAATCATTTATTATTAAAAACGTTTTATTAATAATAATGTAATAATAAACGTTTTTATCAATAACAATATAATAGTAAACACTTTAATTAATAATAATATAATAATAAACATTTTAATTAATAATAATATAATAATAAACATTTTTATTAATAATAATATACTAATAAATGTTTATTAATAATAATACAATAATACACCTTTTTATTAATAATAATAATTAGTAATTAATAATGATATAACAATAAATATTTTTATTAATAATAACATTAATATTAATTACAGATAATTATTTGTAAATTAATGGGATTCACTTTATTGAGTTACGAAATGGGATAGTAGTGGATTCCTAAAATGCAGGTAACTAATTTGAATTATAATTAAACCCGTTTTTTTTAAAAAAATTGAACCTATATTCTATATATACATAATAACTATTTTTAAAGATAATACAAAAAAATATTTATCTTTAAAATTAAAAAAAATTGTTAGGTTTTTAAAAAAAAATATTTGACTATTAAAAAATATTTATTGCAGGAGGAGAAGTAAAAAGTGTCACATGTAAGCACCATATAATTTCTAAAATTTTTGTACAATTAAAATTAATTATTTGTATTTAATTTAAATAAAAAATCTAAATTTTAAAAACAAAATAGAAATTTAAAAAGGTTTTTAAAATTAATGTTATATACTTTAAAACTGCTTTTACAAATAACGTGATAGAACTTTAAAGCATTATCTAAAAAAATTCAATTTTTTAGTGTCATTTAAGTTTTTTCACTTTTTTAAAATCCGGATAATGTTTATAACTTCCAAACAGTTACAATTTACAATTTTTACTTTTATTTAGTGGATAATGATTAATTAATTTTGTGGGCATTACTATATTATTATTTACTAAGTTCATTTGGAAAAGTCAAGCAACACATAAATAGTGCTTGCATTTGTGTCTATACGTTGTTTCCTTCTTTGGTGGAATCTTCTGCATATTAGGGGAAAATTGAATTCAAGACAACTACTCAAAAAGGTTATACTATTCTATTACTCAAATCTTTTGAATAAATAACTAAAATTGAATTCAAGACAACTACTCAAAAAGGTTATACTATTCTATTACTCAAATCTTTTGAATAAATAGTTATTTATTGTAGATTTATAATTCAAATAGGTGAGTATCAATAATTTTTTAAATGCATACATCTTTCAATAAAATATGCATACTCAATATGAACTCATCAATGATAAGCAATGAAGAGTTAGAGTTATACAACGATGGAACGTACCACATTGCAAATATTCACTTCTCTTATTTTTTATTGAATTGATTGATTTTAAAGTTTTATGTTGGATTTTTTTTTTTTTTTTTTTTTTTTATGACAAGGGAAACCCGCAGTCGCTACCCTTTGGGTGCGCACAGGGTAAAACCCCCGCTCCTATGCAATAGCTCGCAATTATGTTGGATTATATTATGAATGATTTGCTATTTTTTTTAAAGTTTGTTTCGTGAAAGTTATTCTTTTGATATGTAGGTTAGTTTATCGAGTTCCAACAATTCTTTGTTGAGTTTCAACATTTATTTTTAAATTCTTTGCTTAATTTGTTTTTTGGTGTTTAAAGTATGTTTTATGAATACTACTCTTTTAGTAATACTACTCTTTTAGTAATATATTGTGTGTTTAGCGTTTCAAATTGTATTAATCCTCAAAATTTTGCAAGTTATATGACACAACAATAAAAAAAAAACTCACTAAGATTTTAGAATGCTATTATTTCACATACCCATATATATTATTTTACAAAAAAGTATATAAAATTAATGTATTATATGCTGTTTTTTTTTTAAAGACTTATGTTTAAAATATTCTTCATTAAAATAATGGAATAATTTCACAGCAAAACAATTTATTTATTTATTTTAAAAAAAAGAATCAAACTTTCATATAAAATATATTAACTTAAGATTTAAACTCATCATTGTATATTAAAATAAAAAGTGTTCATTTAATTATTTATAATTAAAAAAAAAGATTGTTTATACTTCATACGAACTCAATTCACAAATTTAAATCTAATATTTTAATTTATAAATGACATGACAAAAATGAAAAGCTAATTAGAGTATCTCAAAGGAAAATAAAATACATGCAAAAAGATGACAAAAATTTTATTCAAAAATATTATAATACATTTAGACAATCAAATAATTTTAAAACATTAATGTTAAAGTATAAATATAATTTGTTTAGGAAATAAAAATGTATGACGTAACACAATATTAAAATTGTGTATTAGACAAATTAAATTCAAAAATAAAATTTTAAAAATAATACTTTGTTAGAAAATTACAAAAAATTAACGTGATATATTAAAAATTAGAAAATTAAATGATCTGTTTTAAAACTGAAATTTTAATAAACTTTAAACTCTTTATTTAAATAAAATATTAATATGAAATTGAGTAACTAACTAAATATTATCATATTTTCCCTCAAATTAATTTTCTAAATTACAATTAGAATTAAAACATGTAATTTAAAAACTTCCCATTATATTCCCGCTTATATCACTAGCTCTAAAAAATTATTAACCAAACATGAATAAAATAATTAAAACTAGATTTCTTAAAAATAAAAATAAATTGAAATTTATTTGCAAACCAGAAATGTTTTCAAATTATTATTATTTAAAATTTAAATTTAAATAGAATAAATTGAAAATATTATAAATTAATAATTTGCAAAATAGTGCCACATGTCATCATCAAAATAATTATTGAATTTCACTTTGGATATTTGTAAAAAAAATTGTAAAATATTTTGATTATATATATAAAATGCATCAACATACCATATAATCTTATTATATCAAATATTTCTTATGGAATGTTAGAATTACTAAATTATTAACATAACTTTGTATTCAAACGATATGGATAGAATAAAGTACAAACACGTAATTTTTTTGAAGTATTTGATAATTGATCAAGATAAGATAATCATGAAATTAATAGCATTCTTAGAAAAAAAAATCATCCTAATATATTATAAAACTAAAAGCATAGCTGATATAGTTACCGATATAATATTTTGATACGATAAAATAAATTGTGTACTAATAATATTAATTTAATGCCCTCAAATAAATAAGTTAATGATTTGTATTAATATATTAGTATTATAATAAATTAAATATATTATTAAGTGCATAATATATTTTATTAGTTATTTTTAATTATAAAACTAGTCTAAATACCCGCGCGATGCGTGGTTATTATCAAAGAATATTAGTTATCTTTTTTGTTGTAATATCAAAATATAATTTGTAAGTAATCAACTATGATAACTAACAATAGTAAATTTATAAAAGAATCTATTGAGATTTTATTAGAAAAATCTTTATTTTCTTTATTAATGGACAGAAATTAAATAATAACTTATTATAAAATGAAAATATACATAAATAGGCTGTGTCATAATTAACCTTCGATTATTCTCTTGTTTATTATTGTACACCACTTATATCATTAATTCAATTATAAAATATTAGAGATAGTGGAGTAATTCATGAGGTTTTTTGGCTTTATATTAAAAATTTAAGTACATTGTCTCTTTTACATTTTCTTCATACGAAATTATGATATATGTTATCATTTCATTTTAAATAGGAATTATCTACCTATATTTTTATAGTAATAATTAAAAATACATTTTATTTTATTTTCATTTATCCGTGTACATAAAGTGTGTACTGGATTAATATTAAGCTAATTTCAAATAAACATATTAGATATATTTCTAAATCGGTATTAAACCTTGTTACATTGTCTATTAATATTATTATTATTAGTTTATTATTATTAGAAGATTGATATGCAATTTGTTTCTGCAATGCTCACTATTTTCCTTAAAATACGGATGCAAATTTTTTATCTTATGTGACTTTTTTTATTATGTCACTTCAAAATTACTATGTATGGAATTTATATATTATATAGAAAAAACGGTTATAATATATAACTACATTTATAAAATAATTTTTTTCTTCTTGAGGCTAGCTAATTGTCGACTAAACTTATTTATATATTTTTACCGTTTACAATTATTTTAAATTAGCTGAGCAAATATCACAATATTCTTTGTAATTTTAAAATAAATATAAATATAACTCAGATTTATATATATAGATTTTAAAAGAAAACTTCTCTACAATTTGTTTAAACAATGCTTAACAAATAATCCATAAGATAGCTTTGGGAAGAATGACTAAAAACAGAATGGAAGAACACATACATTCAAATAAAAAGACGTTTGTCAATTATAATCATGAGATATTGGTTTGAAAATAAATTCAATTTCAAATCTATATTTTGTTTCTTTCTAACCAAACATTCTTAACATAAGTTACTGTGCTTCTCTATGCAATATAACTATAATACAAAGTTATGAAAAAATAAAATTAATTAAAATTTTAATTATAGGACAAAAATTTGATCTAGACATGCATTATATAATCATAATTAAACAAATTCTAAAAAAATTACTTTTTGCTTAGTGCTCACGTGAGAACATTATTCCAACCGTATTAATATAACCAAAAACATAAACATGAAATGTAAATATTATTTAAATGATGAAAA